AGGGACTAGTCCAGGCAGTCACCAGGAGTCAAAAACTGACTCAAAGGCATGCAGGCGCGTGCGCACACAACCATGACATGAAATACAGAGTATGGAGAAAAATATTGTACAGCGTTTAAGACTACACTGCAGTCTTCTAAATATAGATACTAATTACTAGAAATGGTCAGCTTGATAGAAAATAATTATTGCAATGCACAATATCAACAACATTTGGCCATTTAAAAAAACTGAGAATCTCAGGTTTGGCATTAGAGAAAAACCTAACTTCTACATTAGTTGTACAAATTCTTTACGAGTAACAATATCAATACTTAGCTTGGAATATGAAGCACATATTGGGAGAAGGTAGATGCTATGGGATGCATTTCCCGATGCCCTTTAATAATATCTATAAATGGCTACGTTCCTCATCAAATAAAATCGAAAGAAGCAAAAATTAGACAAAAGCCATCTAATGGTTGGCTTACATTCACTGTGAATGAAATTCTATTACAATTTTTTTTAATATAACAGTTCAGTCTTCACAGGTTTCATGTAATTCCTTCCTTCAGGAAAAGTGGATCCCTTCTGCATTGAAGCCATGAAGAATGCTGAAAAATGAAAATATTCCAGTCTTATTAAGCTTTATGTGGCATAACAGATGTTACTTCCAAATTGTTCCAATATTTAATTTCTTGTGCAGAAGGAACAGTGTTCTTCCTCTCTCCCACACTTCATCTTGAAGACAACTATACTGACTGGTTTCTCTTACTCAGATAATGCTTAGACCTCTGTTTCTATCATGGCACATTCTTTTCCACACAGCTGTGCTCAGAACAAAGGCACTAGATAGAACTATTAGTGCCACTATCTAAAGTGGCAACATTAAGCAACAGCTGTTTAATGGAACGATAAAGTAGCTGAAAAGATTAAGGTATACAATTTGTGCTTCCCCAAGCCTTGGGGACATTTGGAAGTTGCTGGTGAACTGAATTTTTAAGAGGAATATTATTAAACATTTTGATACAATTATATTTAATTAGTTTATTTTAATTAAAATTTAAGTTTAAATCAAGGCCAATTTTTGTCCACACTCCATTCACCCCCTTTTTAAAAAATCTGGTCCTGCTCACTTTGAACGTGGTCTCTGGGATGTCCCTCCAAGGTCACATACAGGCCTTAGTCTGAAAAAGTTTGCAATATCCCCTGGTTTTTCTCTCTATGGCAGAGAGGGTAATCTTTCTTCTATCAAAGGCTACATTTCAGCAGGGGTATTCTATTGGAGGTCCCACACCACATGCTAATGGCCAGTGGGGCTGCAAGACCTTAGCGATGATATTTACAGGCTTAACACTGTATGCTACAATATTCCAAGTGCAATAAACCACAGCAGAACCAAAGAGAACATTACTATACAGGCATAATTTTGCTGGCAATAAATGGCATAAACCATTACTCTTCCTGAGGCAAGAAAAACATGAAGTTGGACTTAGTACGCCTATTTTTGCTTTCATTACAGTAAAATCTCTATTTAAAACGTGGGGTAAAGAGTAAGCTTGAAATAAATAAATAAATAAATAAATAAATAAATAAATAAATTTGTACCTGATAAAATCATCGATATCCATCATTCGGGCACGTTTTTCTGAATAACCGGTATCTTTTAGGATTTCATGTATAAGTTCACCAATATTGAAATTTTCAGGAATTTGCTGTCAGCAAAATAGAAGATTTATGTGGCATGCTTCAAGACAATGTTGCTTTTTAAAATACTTTATTTAAACAAATAAATCAGAAAGATTTACCAAATTATTTTGTGAACAGTGAATTCTGTAATTCTGTTCCAGCAGCTGTTTCACAGCATTTGAACTGCAATAATGAAAAAGAGAAAGTCGCACATTGTATAAAAACTCTTTTTTGGAAAGTCTGAATGTGAAATTGTTCCTTTGCAAATGTCTTTCTTTCCAACTGATTATTTCTTTGACATTTATTAATTTTTTTGTCACATTTATAACTTCAAAAACATACAAAGAACACCGATAGCATCCAGCCAAAGAGTTTATTTGTGGTCCTTCTATTCATTTTTTACCTGTCCATTATGTCTTTACCTTTAGAGACTTGACTAATCAATTCTTCAAGATACTTAGCAATAGCTACATCATTTGTAATCTTATTTCACTTCTTGGCATGCAACCTGCTTGTGGCTAAGTACTGCACTTCTTAACCCTTCCCCCTCACTTTTTTTTTGGCCCATGATGCCACAAATAACTTGGCAGTTGCATTTAACACCTATTTTATTTACAGTACTTAAGGAAAAGACTGCATTGAACTAATTTGAATTTTCTCTACTGATTTTAATGGCACAAAATCCTATAACCAAGTTCTCAGGGATGGCCTTCCCTCCCTAACTGCTTATCAGAAGGACTTCAGTAGAAACACCCTGCTCTGATGGGAGAGTCCTTCAACTCTCTTGCCAAAAGAAAGTTCTGTTCTTTGTGGAGGACAGAAGCTGTACAAACCTGAGAACATTGCATATATACATCACTATAACACTATTCCCTTTCAGGGTAATCAACATTATGCAAAGTACAGAAAAGGAATAACAAAATAAGCCAAAGCAATTAAAGGCACGAGATAGGGAAAAAAGGAAAAGAGCTAAAATTAGTTTACACCAACATTCACCATATCTCTTAACACATTTCTATCCTTACAAACTGACCTTGCTTTTACCACGTCCAATCATTGCTTCATACATTTTTTGTTTTTTAAACTCACTTTACACTAATGTACTCATACTGTTTTATGCAAGTTAGGATCTCTAAATCCTAGAGACTATCTTGAACCTAACATACTGTTGCCTGAATCCCACCAACGTGAATGTACATCCAATGAAATGATACACTCAGAATGCTCTGAGAGTAATCAGAACCAGAAAAAGGGTATTCTACATCTGGGCAGACTGATCAACCAGTCATTTTTTCCCTTCTTTCTCCTTAGTTCCTTTCATTGATCAATGTAACTTTTACAGAGCACGAACTATCCAATTACTGATTTTTATGAACTGCTCTGGGAGGCTTTCTTTTGACTGAAGGTTAGGGGGAAAATGGTTTGCATAATTAATACAGAAAGGAAAAGAGAAGTTGTACATTAAAACTGTCCTGGACACATGCAGGATCAAAAACTAGTGGAAAGGAATTATTATAGTCCTGCCTATCATTTTGACATTATCAATTCTTTGTCAGATTATTAGGCAGTATAATATGCAAAATAAAAGTAGATTAGAGGAGCATAGGTTGCAAATCTAGAAGAGCTAAAGGAACAAGGAAATATCAGCTACACACATTATTTGTATCCTAAAAGTTTGTATTCTGTCAACAAGAACATGAATCTAAAAGAATTTGCAAGAATAAGGGAATCTGCTTCTGGTGAGACTGGAGAATTGACACCCACTGGTTAATTTTTTATGCATCTGTAATGTTTAATTGTTAACTGGGATGAGATTTTGATTATTAAGAGAGGGATTAGGAGGATTATGTTTAAATGGAAAGGGGGACTAAATGCTTATGTTGCTAGTTGTGTCTGTTAATCTTTACACCTTTTGCTGATTAATAAGGAGAGCTGAGGATTTAGAGATGGGTTTATAGAAAATGGGGTGAAGCATGGAATGAAGGTGCATTTTGTAGTATTTTAACAGACAGTGATAAGTTGTTAATATTGTATATACTTGCTGGGGATGAAGGAGGAAGTTTCTTCTTTTTACTACTTTTTTTAGTGGGGGGATTTCTTTCTCTTTGCATTGTCTTATTTTTTTTTAATCTATTTTTGTATTAGTTTCATCTATATTATATAATTTTCAATAAAATTATTTAAAAAAAGAATCTGCAAGAATAACATGCCACAAATACCAGAAGACAAGAGGGAAACAAAAACACAAGATCGTCTTTAGGCAACTACATGGTACTGTTCCTCATTTCCCTTCATGGTCAACAGCAATCATAGATGGGCAATCTGAAACTATACCTCTGGAGCTTCTCTAGCTTAGTAGCCCACGGGGATCCTTAGCTGTTTGTTGTTTTGCAGTTTGTTTTGGTGATGCTGGAGCAGGGTCTTGGGTCTCTTTCTCAAGAATGACTAAACAAAACTGGTTATAAATCAAACCAACCACATCCTTCTATTCTATACTCTTAGTTAATGGCCAACACCAAATCTAAGCAATATATACTTTTGCCTGATGTTCACATAGAAATATATACTCTAAAGATCTCTGTGGTCCAGGAGAACAACATCTCATCCACTGCTATCTCTTAGCAGCAATAAATATGAGAAGCAAAACACTGAAGGGGGAATCAACAATCTTGAGAAGAGGAAAGCTCAGTGACAGAGCTGCAAACAATTCAACATAAAAAAGTGTAACTTACTTAAAAACTGCAGCAAGTGTCTTGTTTTTCCTGACAAAGACTATCCTTAGTAGACCATCCCACTCCTAAATGAATATGTTAGAGATTAAACAGAGACAATTTCTTTTTTTTTTTTAGTCATATTGCATGTGTCAATGCAGGTATGTCTGCGTCACACATAAATGCTGCTTTGTGTTGGTCACGATTAAGGTAAACCTCTCTCTGACCTCTGCTTTCATTATCTGCTCTCTTTGCTTATGTGTGGTTTAATCTTTCATCACTTAGTTGAAAATATGGTGAGGTTCTATGAACGACAATTCCATGGAAAGCAAATGATAACTGGGTAGATTTTTGCACTGATGAATATTTGCTATATAAAACATTTATTTCCAAAGATAGATATTAACATGGACAAGAAAAAATCTTGTATTCCTTTGAACCCTTAGTTTCAAAGTGTAATACTGTCAGAACATTTTGATTTAATGCAAATCTCTTTTACTCATAAGATTGACACTATTCTTTAATCTTTTCCCTTAACAATGGGTAAAATTGTGATTTGCTGAAGCCACTTCCCCAAAATCAAGCTATGATTGTTTCCACCTCTTATCTTACATACTTAGTTATCATTTAATGCTGTTCAATGAATAACAAAATATGAAGCATTAGATGGGCTTCACACAAAATATGGCACTCAAGCAATATCACAGTTGTCCAAACATCTAGGAGTGATATACACTTAGGAGATACTAAGTTGTTTTCATGGATCATAATGATAAACCATACCTGAAAGTTAATTGGTGGTGGAGGGTTCTTTGGTTCTATCCTCACGACACTGGATTCAACTTTGGGTGGTGGTTTAAAATTATTTTTTCCTACCTGTTAAACATAATAAAGTCAACTGTCAAAGAAAGAACAACTTTTTATCTTCCTTCATTTTAATTCATTTTATTGTAATTTCTTTGTTTTGATTGTTGTGAACTGCCAAGTTGTTGGGAGCCAGGCAACGTACAAGTTTAACCAACAAACAAATAAATAACCTATTTTCATCCCATTAAGACTTCTACCACTTCCCACCCTGCCTGCCTTATATCTGAAATTTCATAAATTCAAAATAAAACTTTTTATTTTGCTTACTTTCATTAGATGATCAACACGAGCTAAAAGTTGAGTATTAACAGACAGCCTACAGTATAGGTGAGAGCCTGGTTTTGCAACTAAGCGAAGAGCAAATTCTCTTTGAAACATGAGTATTGCGCATCTGGAAAATAAACATGAGATTCACGTTTAATATTACTCTGAAACAGCCCTGTCCTGGAAAAGATCAACAACTTGACATTTGTTCAACAATGTTTAGAATAAATGCATACACTATTGTTTGATAGGTTTTAAACCAACTTATTGTTTGAACTCCATGAATATCCAGTAGATGCATAGGTTAAGTTAAGCCATGCATCAGTCCTGGATAGTTTAGGTAAATGCAGTTGTGGATATTGTGAGGACATAGCTGTTAAATACAATATAATATTCTTGTACAGGATTTCAAGTACCATCGTTATCTGGTTATAGTAATCTCTCTATTTTTGAGACAGCTCCTGTCAATAAAATGGCTGCAGGAAACTCCTAAGGGTTGAAATACTGGATAAAATGTGAAACAATGTGAAACAATAAGGATTCATGTGAACACATCTTTTGAGATGTGAGGCTTATATCTTTTGTTACTACTAGAATTTATATCTATTAATTCATAATGCAACCAATTTCTCCCAATGCTGTTGTTATGATTATATTTTTATCCCACCCTTTTTTACATATAACTCAAGGCAGTAAACATACCTAATACTCCTGCTTCCTATTTTCCCCACAGCAACAACCCTATGAGATGGGTTGGGGTGAGAGAGAGAGTGACTAGCTCAAAGTCACCAAGCTGGCTTTCAGCTTAAGGGAGGCCTAGAGTCTCCTGGTTTCTAGGCCAGCACCTTAACAACTACACCAAACTTCTCTCTCTAAACCTATTGTTAGAGAGTCTCAAGAGAAACTCTGAAATGCCTATAAATATTGCCAGATAAGATTAAAGAAACATTCAGACCGAAGGGATTGAGGCAAAACTAGGCTGTTTATGAACCTTTGGTCTGTAAGCATCGGACCTCTCAAAGAGATGCAAAGTGTCAACACTAGTCTTTTACTTATAAGAATAACAGCTTAATTTAAGAGGATTGTGTGATTCAAACACAGACACTTCCACTAAAAAGTAGATACATAGTACTGTACAAGGTTTAGTTTTACACAGTGCTAACTGTTTTCTAGGTAAATGTTGTATCAATCCTCATCTGTAAGGTTAATAATAATAATGTTAGATATTATCTCTAAAAGCATTTAAACTATATTAGACACGATATATTTTTTTACATACCTGAAGAAAGGCCGATGCAGCAATAGCTTAAAAACAAAGGGAGAAGAAATCTGGGGGTGGGGAAGATAAAAAAAAAAAAAAAAGATTGATTCCCACAAGACTATAAAACAGACAATGTCTTCGTCTTATTTTTCAAAAGTTTTGTTTTATACTTACTTGATAAGGCAAATTAGCTACACAAGCATCAAAAAAAGGGAGGTCACTTTTCAATACATCTCCAATTTTTATTTCAAGTTTGTTAGCCAAATGTCTGAAATGAAAATAACACTGTATTATTAATATATGTCCAAGAGAGGTTCTAGTTTAAAAAACCATTACGACTTTTCTCCCCACAAAGAGCACTTACGTTCCCTGGACTCTTTTCTGAAGTTCACCAGCAAGCTTTACATCAACTTCGCAAGCAATTACCTGAAAGAGAATCATATATAAAATGTCTTTGTGTACACATCATAAATAATGAATCTCAGAATTACTTTATGTTACTGCAGAATTTTAACAAATCTTCTGCTTTAGGTGTAAATACAGGTTTTTTAAAGCTTTGTAGTTGGATACTGATGTTCCCATACACAGCCTAAAATAGAATAATCTAGAATAAGTCTAGGTTATTTAAAAATCAGAACGGATCTCTCAGAAAACGAAAACTGAATATATATGGCAGCAACCCCCCCCCCAGTTTTCATCTAAAATATTTAGGACATTTAGACATATCTCAATGCAGACAAATAGTGAAATTATAGGTGTTATTATGTATGTAGGGGAAAGAAGGAAATGAAAGAACACACTGATTCTCTCCCTTAGTTCTCCTTTTACATAATCAAACAATTTTTGAATGATTATCTTTTCCCCTTTTGTGCTCTCTCCTTGCAGTGAAATGGGGAAAAAATAACTTTATTTTTAGATTTACCTTTTTCACCTTTTCTAACATTTTCACTGTCATATTGCCAGTTCCGGGACCAACTTCTAGAACAACATCTGTAGGGTACAAGGAAGCCTAAAGAATGAATAAAAATGGAATTACACAAAAACCTAGACTAGGTTTTTTTACTAGACTATTTAGTACTGTATATATATATACACAAATTTAATTGATATACAACATGATGTAGAGGGAAGAGGAAATGGCCTTGAAGGACAGGAGGAAGAGCCGATACCAAGGCAATTGTCAGATAAAAGAGGTCTGAATCCAGAGCAAGAATGTAGCTCAGATAGGGCCCTTCCTACTTCTTACAAAGATAAAGGGAAGGAGAGGAAAAGCACATTCAGACTTTCAAGATTCTGTCACTATAGCTTCAGAATAAAATAGTACTGATCTACATGACATTGGTTTCCTGGTCTGGTCTACCTTAAAGGGGTGATGTATATTTGAAATATAACTTGCTAAAGCAGAATTCTATCAAGTCAACAAGGTCCATCTATAAAATATGTACAAATTATTTAACTTATTTTTCTCTGATGCAATATCTGAGCATCTTATGCAACCATTCTGATACGTTTTATATACGTTTTAAAAATGTACAAAGACATTTGTATTGTATACAGGTTTTAGTTGAATATTTTTTCAAAATTTCAGGTATCAGTATTTTATGATACAATCCTATGTTTGTTTAGTGAGAAACAGATCCACTGATTTTAATGAGGCTTACTAATTAAATAGGTACACATTAGTAGCTTCAAATACCACCAGTTTAACAATAATTTATGTGAATGACAGATTTTCTTTTGTAGGAAGAGATTGTTATTATCACTTACCTTTTCTATAATGCTGTTAACAATCAGGGGATTTTTCAAAATATGTTGACCAAGTCCAGTGTTGAACCTAATGCCAACTAATAATAATACATTTTAAGAAGGATAAAAAGTCATTTTGTATCAAACTCTTAGATTAATACTAACAGTTTCTTACACAATGGACAGTTCTTCAAGAGGCCTTAAATCATGGCATGATACTTTCTCTAATAATGCACGCAATTCAGAATCTGGCATCCTTATCAAAGAAAGTAGCGTCAAAACAGTGGGGTATGGTTGAAGTTCCCAAGCTTTTCCTTTATACAGATCACTACATCATCGTAAAAATGTTCTGCAGACAAAGGCAGGAAGTGTAGCACCTGTAGGCACTAGCTAAAAATTACTTCGCAATTAAAAAAAAATAATGGCCAAATGCTTACAAGATAATAAGAATCTTATCATAATATTCACAGATTTAACAAGTTTTGATTTCACAAGATTTGATTATTTAAAATAAATATTTTCATTTGTATTTTGCCACCCATGCTACAGACTATTTGCCATACTTTCATGGACCAGCAATGGCTTGCAGACCATAGATTGGAAACCACTGGACAATAATATACAGTTGTATGCATCTCTGGTCAAATTATGCATTGCAATGAATTCCTATATGAGCAGAAGCTGACATAACCTCTACACACTATAGTACAATACAAAGCTAAACACAACTTTTTTACAAATCTGAATACATAGTTACTATTTATGTGCAGTTGTTTACAGATTCAAAATAAGAAAACAGTGAATATGGCAGTGCAAAAATTTGACACTCTCCGTAAAAATCTTCCTTTGGCAGAAGTAACAGCTCCCAAAGTTTTCTGTAGCCAGTTAAGGGTTCTTCTGTTCTTGTTTTTAGAATGTTTTCTTACTCTTCCTTGCAAAGCTCTTCTAGCTCAGAAATATTCTTAGGTTTGCTTATATGGATTGCACATTTGAGATCTCTCCACAGATTTTCAATAATGCACAGATTAAGTGACTGTTTTGTTGAAATAGCCAACCTTTTTTCAGGTTCAGTCTCTGGAACATTAGCTTCTAGGGTATGTTACTATTTAGTTGAATTTGTTCTTCCTTCCATCTGCACAATATTTTCTGAACCACTGGCTGCTAAACAATCCCAAAGCATAACAGGACATCCGACGTTTAATAGTTTGCAATGGTCTTCTCTTCAAAAACTTTACCAATCTTTCTTAAAATATAGCTTTTGTGGTTGTGGCCAAATGATTCCATTTTTGTTTCCTCACCTGAAGCACTTGTTGCAAACATGTCAGGGTTACCAAGATTTTGTTTTGTATACTTTAGATTATGATTTTTTTCATGAGGTTGGAGGAAATTTTTTTTTCCTGACAACTGTCCCATGAAACTCACTGCTCTATAACCAAGGCTGTATTGTGGATAACTACTCCAGAGTCAGCTAAACAGATCTGTGGGTTCTGCTTTGCAGGCCTGACCAATTTTGGGAAGTTCTAGCAGATTTTTTTTTTGGTCTTCAAACTAATATCCCAGACTCAGTCAGGAAACTGTAGCTGAAAAGAGGCTGGATATGGAGTCCTTGGTGCTGAGCTTGGTTGTTCTCATGCAGACGTTTCATTTCCAAACTAGGTAACATCATCACTGTGAGGACTCACACTGATGATGTTACCAAGTCAGGTAATGAAACGTCTGCAAGCAAACCCAGCTCAGAGAGCACCAAGGACTCCACAGGTCAACCCTGAGCTACAGATACTCTCTTCTGTTAGAGGCTGGATATTTCAGGGGGATGCTTCGAAACACACTTCTACAGCGAAGCCAAAGTACTTAGAAAGGAGGATAAAAAAGGTTGCTGCTTTAACTTGGCACCCTCCAAATTACTATCACCACAACCACCACCACCCCGCCCCCGGCGTATGGCAAATGATGGAAGCTGCAGCCCACGGCAGCCCGTCCTCCCTAACCCGAGCAGCTTCTCTCACCAGGGCCTTTGCCTTCCCCGCGCTGCTTTCGAGAGCGTGTCTTGCTCTTCACCTTCGGCATGGCTCTGCCAGGCGTGCCTCACACGAAGCTCAGAAGATGAGGAAGGCGAAGGGGGCGGTCACCCCACGCGCGGGGGCTGCCGGGACGAGTAGTTTCGCCGTCCCTCCGGAAGCGCGCGGCGAAAGCGCCTCGACCCAAGGGGCGAGTCCAAGAGTAGCGAATTTCGGGAAGCGTTTAAGTACTTTATGAAAGCGCAAAGGAGAGTTAAGAAATGCCGTTGGTCATGGCTCTTTTAAAAACCGGAGTCGTTATTGGAAAAGAAGAATCATGGGAGGAGGGAGCGAGAGTGACAATCTCAACAGCCTCTAAAAAATGGAAGCCGCGTTCTTCTCCCACCACATGTCC